TCTAGAACTTCTTCATCTTGTGAAACTGAAACCCATGAACCACACTAATTTTAAATACTTTATGTAGGTGGAATCATATAGTATTTGTCCTTTTGTGACTGGCTTATTGTACTCAGCCCAGCATTCTTGAGATATCCATGTTAGAGCATGCCACAGGATTTCCTTCTTTTTTAAGGCTCCATAATGTTGCATTGTACATGGACACAGCATTTTCTTTATCTATTCATCTGTTGATGAACATTTGGGTTGCTTCCAGCTCTTAGCTATTGTTAATAATGCTGTGATGAACATGAGTGTGCAAACAGCTCTTTGAGATACTGCTTTGAACTATTTTGGAAATACACCCAGAAGTGAGACTGCTGAATCATACTGTAGTTCTATTTTTAATTTTTTTGAGGGAACTCCATGCTGTTTTCCAGAGTTTCTGCACCATTTCACATACCCACCAAGAGTGCATAAGTATTCCAATTTCTCCACATCCTTGTCAACACTTGTTTTCTACTTTTCTTATAGCAGCCATCCTAATGGGTATGAGGCGGTGTCTTGTGCTTTTGGTTTGAGATTCTCATGATTAGTGATGTTGAGCATCATTTCATATGCTTGCTGACCATTTGTATATCTTCTCTGGAGAACTTCTTATTAAAATCTTTTGTCCATTTTTAAATCAGACTATTGGTGGAGTGCCTGGGTGACTCAGTCGGTTAAGCGTCTAACTCTTGATTTCAGCTCAGGTCATGTTCTCAGAATTGTGAGACTGAGCCCTGCATCAGGCTCTGTGCTGGGCATGAACCCTACTTAAGAATCTCTCTTTTGGGGCACTTGGGTGGCTTAGTGGGTTAAAGCCTCTGCTTCGGCTCAGGTCATGATCCCGGGGTTCTGGGATCGAGCCCCACATCAGGCTCTCTGCTCAGCGGGGAGTCTCCCTCTCTCTCTGCCTGCATCTATGCCTACTTGTGATCTCTGTCTGTCAAATAAATAAATAAAATCTTTAAAAAAAAAAGAATCTCTCTCTCCCTCTACCCCTCCTCCCTACCCCATGCCCCCTCCTGCTCCCACGTGCACACTGTCTCTCTCTCTTAAAAAAAAAAAGAAAGAAAGAAAGAAAAGGAAAAAGAAAAAATACCCAAGAGTTTTAAGGCCCTGGAAACACTGCCATTTTCTTTTCTAGAAAAAATAATCCAATTTGCATTCTCACCAGAGGAATATGAAAATTTATCTCATCATACTCTCATTATTACTGAATACCATTATTTTGTAATCTTTGCTAATGTGTTAACTGGAAAATGGCATCACATTTTCACACCAATTAGTATTCTTTTCTATTGCTTATGAAGCAGAATTTTTTTTTTCTTTTTTTTAAGTAGGCTCTGCGCCTGGCTTGGAGCCCAACATGGGGCTTGAACTTACAATCCGGAGATCAAGACCTGAGCTGAGACGAAGAATCAGACACTTGGGGCCCCTGAGTGGCTCAGTCACTTAAGCTTCTGATTCTTGCTTTCACTCAAGTCATGATCTCATGGGTCCTAAGATTGAACCTGCATCAGGCTCCATGCTCAGCAGGAAGTCTGCTTGAAGATTTTCTCCCTCTGTCCATCCCCTCACTTGCATGTACTCTCTCTAAAAAAAAAAGACTTGGACACTTAACCAGTGGAGCCACCCAGGGGACCCAGAACACTTTTTTGGTATGTTTATTGGCTAATCTTTTCTTGTTTGAAAACTAATAATTACTTTTGTCAATTTAACTATAATAATGATTGTAATAATATATTTATTCATTTTTTTAAAGATTTTATTTACTTATTTGACAGAGATCACAAGTAGGCAGAGAGGCAGGCAGAGAGAGAGGAGGAAGCAGGCTCCCTGCTGAGCAGAAAGCCCGATGTGGGGCTTGATCCCAGGACCCTGAGATCATGACCTGAGCCGAAGGCAGAGGCTTCAACCCACTGAGCCACCCAGGCACCCCTATTTATTCATTTAAAAAAAACATTTTATTTATTTATTTATTTGACAGAGAGAGAGGGAGAGCATGAGCAGGGAACAGCAAGCAGAGGGAGAGAGAGTGGGAGAAGCAGGCTCCTTGCTGAGCAGGGAGTCTGATGCGGGACCAGATCCCAGGACCCTGAAATCATGACCTGAGCTAAAGGCAGATGCTTAACGACTGAGCCCCCCAGGTACGCCTATTCATTCATTTTTAAACAAATATTTATCAAGTATCAAATATGTATATGTACCAAACACACTTCTAACTGCTGGGGATAGAATGTTAAGCTCCATGAGGAAGAAGGACATTAAAAAAAAAATGAAGAGGTAAATTAGGATGTTAGAGGGTAATAAAAACTATGGTGAAAAATGAACCAGGTACAGGTGAGTTTGGGACAGAAAGAACAAGATACAATTTAAAATTGGGTAGTCAGATAAGTATTTATCAAGCAGGTGACATTTGAGCAAAGACATAGGGTAGGGACACACAGAGCAGGACCCTATAATTGGTGAGCATATATAACTTGTCATCCAAACTGGGACATTTTTAGAGCGAAAGGTTTGGGGGGCTATTAATAATCACCCTAGGCCCATAGATAGATACTATGACTGTCTTGGGAAAACTGGGACATATGAACCTCCTATGTATAGACTGTCGAAAAGACTTTAACTTCTCAAAAACCTGATGGAAGTAGGACGAAACTCATGTAAATAAAAGCATGTGCCGTGAGACCATAAAGGGGGGGAAGAAGAGTACCTGAGATGGAAGCTCTTGGAAGGTTTTGAGTGGAAAAGTGACATGGTCTTGTTTAGATAACTCAGGCTGCTGTGCCGAGGACAGACTCAGGGCGGGCAGGAGCAGAATTAAGGAGGAAGGTCTGGTTCAGAAGCTAACAGAATCCAGGCAAGACACTAGATTCTAGAACATGCAATATGAGATTGGCTGCCAGTCTGAGTGCTATTCATAAGCCAGTGTGGGATGTTGCCTTGTAGATCTAACTTTAAAAGCAGTTTTTAAAAATCAGGAACGTATCTTGAATTTAATCAAATGATCTTTTGACATCTGTTCATCTACTTGGTCTTTGAGCTATCAAAGAGATAATCATCTGTGTACTTGTTGCCTTTATAAAAACATTTAAAAAAGTCATCTCTTACTATTTTAATGTACAAACAGTAAAAGGTAATTATCACATCCTTACTTCTTATATTTAGAAAAAGCTTTAAGAGCATTTTGTAAATAGGCATTTAAAAATTTTAATGTCAGATGAAATCTTTAAAAAAAAAAAAAAAGGGGGCGCCTGGGTGGCTCAGTGGGTTAAGCCGCTGCCTTCGGCTCAGGTCATGATCTCAGGGTTCTGGGATCGAGTCCCGCATCGGGCTCTCTGCTCGGCAGGAAGCCTGCTTCCTCCTCTCTCTCTGCCTGCTTGTGATCTCTGTCTGTCAAATAAATGGATGAAATCTTAAAAAAAAAAAAAAATTTTAATGTCTATGTATCAAACAAACATTTCCACCAAACTGGAGTTACAAAGTTTCTTAACTAAAAAATATTTATCAATGCTTGTTAAATGCAAGAAAACACTGTGCTAAACAGATCTATAGAGGATAAAAAGAGAAACAAGGTAGGGTTCCTAGCCCCCCAGAGGCTAAGAGGCTGTGGGGGCAATAAGACAAGAGTCCAGCTCAGTGAGGGTTAACAAGTACCTGAAGAGCTCAGAGGAGGGAACAGCTACGGCCGGTGGGGTGGGAAGAAAGTTTGAGAAGAGCTTCTTGGGAGGCAGCATGGCCTGCTCTCTGTGGGACAGGCTGCCCAGTGCTCAGCAAGGTAGGTGGAAAGCTGATCCAGACAGGCTGCATCATGGGGGAGATGAAAGCACTGGGTGGATGACAGAAGCTATGCTTCTGTCTCCAACGAGAAACATAAATTATTCTAGGATATTCTGGTGGATTTTAAAGTAACAGTCAAAAGGTAGGATCAGTGTGTCAGTAGGATATAAAATATGTGTTAGAAATATGGCAATAGAGAGAAAAAAAATTAGGGGTTAATCAGAAAAGTTCAAGGAACCTGAAATAATAAGGACTATTTATCAAAAATATTACATCCACGTTTCCTCTAAAAAATAGTTTGTGAAAATTTACTTTTGAGGATAATTGTTTTTCCGGAGCTGATGCCATCAAGCATCATATTAAAACCAGTGGCTACCTGTTTCTATGCACACAGCATAGTGCTGGGTATAGGAAAGGGGAACTTACCACTGTGCTGTGGTCACAGAGGCCACTTTCAATGAAAGCATGCCGCCCAGGTGTCCAGGAGTAATGTCCTGCTCTGTTGTCATCTCGGTGTGCCTAAAACATGCTAAGACAGAGACTGGACGTGTCTCTCCTGAGCTTATAACACACGACCCCAGCTTTCTTCTCCCCCGCTCACTTGTGGAACTGAAACCAGATGCAGCCCCGGCTGGGGAGACTAGCAGCTGTAGATGACACTTAGGAAGGAATCTATTAATGGAAAGAACTGTTTGAAAAGTCTCTCCGGATTGTTGGCTTGAAACAGCTCCCTTCCTGGGGGCCAGTAGCTCTTGGCTGCAGCGCAAACAAATGGTCTTTACCAACCTAACTGGTTTGTGGCTCTCCTGATTCTCTGTTTACTAGCAAAATACCTCTTCAGCCGCTCTAAAGAAACAGATGGTTTAAACACATGCTCAAAAAGATCACAGTGAATGCGGACCGGTGAGTTATAGCCTCTGAAACTGTAGCAGGGAACTGTCTGGGTTTCCTTCCTAAAGGCCAGTGGGTCATATGACCCAAGCTACTCGATCTCCTGTGGCATTTCACTTGCAAAACACTACTGTTACCTGCCATCAATTCCCTTCAAAGGACTGTACAAAATTTTCTGGATGGGAATACCACATCTAATCATTTAGTTACAGCAGTATATGAGTTTGCCTCAAACACGACTATAATTTTGAATGTGCTGTTTCAGTGATACACATACACACACACATACTGTTGTCACCTGATAGTTGTGTTAATACAATGACATTCTTTTTATTTGAATAGTATTTGTATGTTTGGAAATGAGTGTCAATATTTGTATGGATTTACCAGTCCTTGACCATAAGATTTTCAAAAAATCTTATGAACCCATTTCATCGAATTCACTAGGATGGTAGACTCTCTGGAAATGGTTTTTAAAACAAGGAGATTTTCTGGAAGAGTGGCCCAGAGTGTGCTCTATGACAAGTATTTCTCAACAGCAGAGTCATCTTAGTGTTCATCTTTAGGCTTGGTCCAGTTCCTTAGGAAAGGCTTTGGTTTCCTCACAGAGTCTGATGCATTTAGTTTTCAGGTCACCAAATGGGGTGGAGATCTTATCAGAACGACGTTATTAGAACTTTGGGATTTTCTTCCTTCTCCACTGAATCTCTTGGTTTTTTCCTAAACCTGAACCTGAAAATAAAATAAGGGTTAAAGAAAATTAAATATTCAAGATTCTCCTCTTTATAATGCCAGACTGACATTAAAAAACTTTTATCCAACACTGAAAAAAAATAAGAAATAAAGAAAAAAGAAAAACATTTATCCAGTCAATGAATATAACTCTAATAATAGCTCAGGAGTCTAGAGCTTGTATTCTCTAATTCTACAGTTTCCCCAAGGAAAGGATGGAATGGTAAACATGACTTCTCAGCATGCTAAAGTTAATGTTGAAATAGTTATATCATTAGAAGAAAACAACTTTTGGGGCACACTTTGTTATACATGTTCTGTCAGAGATCAGAATCATCCACTCATACATAGATTTATGTTCTTCTTGGCCAGGCACTAAAGACGTGTTATATTATAGAACTTCAAGATAGTCATATGAACTATTTCCATATAATAGATGTGAATCCCAAGGTTTAGTGAAAATTAAGTAATTTTCCCAAATTCATGCCCTAGATTTGGGATTTGAAGCCAGGCAGTTTCACTCTAGAATCTCAACTTCTATGAATCCACTCATCTTTAATTGTTTGCCAATCTGTGATACTGTAGAAAGATATTTGATTTTTGCCCCCAGTTCCTGACACAAAGCTCCTAAATCCTTTGTCATTTCCTGGGTGATAGGGGGCATAGGAGCATCTTGTGTTTTGTTCTAATTAGGCAACTCCTGGAGGGCCCCTTGATAACTTCAGGATGGAGGCTGGTTGCCAGAAAGATCAGGCCTTGATTAGAAGCCTGGAACTTTCAGCTCCACCTTCCAACCCCCAAGGAGGGGTGAGGGGCTAGAGGTTCGATTAGTTATGGATCATGCCAAGATGATAAAACCTCCATAAAACCCCCTGAACACTGAGGTTCGGAGAGCTTCTGAATTGGTGAACACATCCATGTGTGAGGACAGTGGTGTTCCCCAAATGCATGGGGACAGAAGCTCTTGCACTCTGGACCCTTCTGGACCTCACCCTTTGTACCTCTTCACTTGGCTGTTCATGTGCATTCTTTATAATAAACCTGAAATGGTAAGGAAACTGTTACCTGAGTTCTGTGAGTCATTCCGGCAAATTACTGAACTTGAGTGGAGAGAGGGGAGGTTGTGGAAACACCAGACTTCGCAACCAAGTTGGATAGAAGTGTGAATAACCTGGGGACCTGATATTTACCACTGGCATCTGAAGGGAGGGCAGTCTTGTGGGACTAAGCTCTAAAACCTGTGGATTCTGATGCAAACTGGTGGTTAGTGTTGGAATTGAATGATATTGTAGGACACCTAGTTGGTATCAGAAATGGTGGGTATCAGGAGGGAAAACTCTCATAAATCTCATAGGCCCCCCAAAAAGATACTAAATTGTTTCATTTCGTATTTCTTTATTAATGTGGACAAGTATTGTTTTTCATGTATATACCTGCCAATGAGATTTTTTTCTGTCAACCGTTGGTGACCTTTGCCAGTTTTCCTGCTGAGTTGTCTTTTTCCCACTGACTGCTGAGAGTTTCATGTATATTAGCTGTATAAACCCCATGTGTATATTGTGTGTTGTAAATATTCCCCCCCCCGGCTTTTTGACCTTTGTTTTTATTTACAGTTTCCTTTCTTGCTGTGCCAACAATTTCTAAAGTTTCATAATCAGTGGTAGCAATCTTTTCCTTTACGTCTCTTTGCTTTTCATATCATGTTCAGAAAGGCCTTCTCTGAGCAAAACATAACAAAAATATGTGTGTTTTCTTCTGGTACACTTATGATTTTACATTTTTAGGCCTCAATTTTTAAACACTCTGCAATTTATTGATGTATTATTCTGAAGGAGGATGTAAGTTTTTAATTTATCCAGCATGGCTAGCTGAATTCTCTAACACCCTTTACTGAATAATCTAATTTTCCTTACTGATTTCAAATTGCTACTTTTTAGCATAGACTGAGTTCTCATAGTTTCTTGGATTTAATTCTGAACTCTATACTATTCCAGTGAGTTCTATTCCTATACCCTTATCATATAGTTTTAATTATCTTTGCTTAGTAATATGCTTTATTATCTGATAGAGCTACTCTCTACTTTCTACTCTGCTTTTTCAGAAGCTTCCTGGCTATTATTGAAAGCTTATTCCTTCTGAGGGATTTTGCTACTAGTTTTTAAAGTTCCACTTACCCTTTCACTTTCTGCATCTGCTCTAAGGTCTCTGGTAGAGTCATTCCAAAACTTTCAGGGAAGAAAAGGGTGATGATTCCAATGAAGACAGTCAGGCTACCCATGACAATGTAGGGCAGAACTCTATTGTAAGCACCTGGAAGGCACAAGAACATCAATTGGATACAGGGATTCTCCAGATACTCCTGGGAATTGTTTTGTCATGGTGGCAAACAGTATTTGAGAGTACTCAAATCTGAACATTTTCAGAAGGAAAAAGGTATGCAAAAAATCACAGTTTCTTTTTGGCAGAAGCCATTGCCTCTGTGATTTCCATAATCATTTCCCTATGTGCTTTTGCAATATTATAAAGTCTTTCATGCCATTTGGCAATCTCTAAGCCACTATTGAACCATGAATGACAGATGTTCCATTGATGAAAGTCTTTGCCAACCAAGTTTTCCCTCTCAAGGTGGAAGTCATTGGAGATGGGGATGAGAGGACATCACGCAGGAGAAAGGACATCACAGGGACAGGTACAGGCCATGATGACTGGTGTGAACTTTGCTTTTGCCTGAACTGTGAAGTAGGCTGCAGTGGACAGCTAGGTCCAAAGAGCCATGAAACTCTTAAAAGAAAAAAAACCTAAGTAATATGTTTAATCCAATTTCAATCACTCAATGTCAGGCATAGTGAATGCACTATATACCTGGATTTGGTTTCTTTTTGCAACGTTTATGTGTCTTGGTTTTATAAGAACCATTCTCCACCTCTTCCTTATGTGGCGTTACTTGGACAGGAGAATAACAGATCCTCATCTTGCCTCCTTTCTGCAAACAGAGATTATAGAGGAACAACACACCCAAGAATTTTATTTGACGGATGTTGATCTGGAAGCTCCTCTGAGGTGTCTGTGTCACTAACAGGAATAGTTGTTGCAGAACAGAAAGCTGTCTCAGACTCCTCCCTTTCATCTGTACCAGTGGTCTGCCCTTAGACCAAGTGAGCATGGCTTGAAAGAAGAAGGAACGAAGGGAAAATGACACCATTCAATATTTTTTTCAAAGATTTTATTTATTCATTTGACAGACAGAGATCACAAGTAGGCAGAGAGGCAGGCAGAGAGAGAGGAAGGGAAGCAGGCTCCCTGCTGAGCTTAGAGCCCGTTGCGAGGCTCCATCCCAGGACCTGAGATCATGACCCGAGCCGAAGGCAGAGGCTTTAACCCACTGAACCACCCAGGTGTCCTGACACCATTCAATATTTTAATGTGCTTTCTTAGGGCTTGTTCAGGGCAGCAATGCAGAGTATGTTTAAGATAAGAAAATGTTTCACTTTCTCTGCAAAAATTAGGGTGTACCTTTCGTGAGAATTCAGATATAGTATTTGTCTGCATGCGTGTTTGAACCAGTAGGTAACCAATGGATGACTAGGAAGAATAGGAGGTGTATCAGCATCTCTCACCGTCAGAGTCCTTAATGAGGCTTAGGCTTGGAGTACGAGATCCTACATTCATTGAACAACCCACCAAAGCCCCCCTGTGGTGTTACTCCAGATTGCAAAATCTGACCATATAAAAACTAAAATTTCCTAAAATATCATAAAGTCAAAGTATATGATGAACTAAGAAAAATATTTACTACATATATGCAAAGGGCTAGTTTCTTTCAATTACAAAGAGCTCTCACAAATCAGGGGCGCCTGGGTGGCTCAGCCCTCGGTTAAATGTCTGACTCTTGATTTCGGTTTAGGTCATGATCTCATGGGTTTTAAGATAGAGCCCCGCATCGGACTCTGTGCTCAGTGGGGCTTCTGCTTGAAGATTCTCTCCCTCTGCCCCTCCGCCCCAACTCACGTGAGCATGTTCTCCTGTGCTCTGTCTCTCAAATAAATAAAGAAATCTTAAAAAAAAAAATTCAACCTTATTTATAATTGAATTAGAAATGAAAGCAATAATGATATCCATTTTTCAGGTAACAGATTACCAATGATTAAAAAATTGGGTCATCCCCATTGTTAGTGAGGATATGGAGAAATAGGCCCTCTCATATATTGATAGTTGGACTGTAAATTAGTACAATATTTAGAGGCCAGTTTGGCAATATCTATGAAAATTTTAATTTGCTCCAACAATCCATGAATCCAAGTGTATGTAATTAAATGAACAAAGGGTCTTAGGGGGATAGAGGAATGATTATTGCAGTGTTATGTGTGATAACAAAAACCAGGAAATAGCATAAATGTCTATCCATTGAGCCTAGTTAAACAAATTATGTATATACATACATTGGAAGAATATATACTAACTAAAAAGAAGGTAAAAGCTCTATACACTAATAAGGAAAGATATTCTGATACAATGTTATATTTAAAAAGTTGTGAAACAATATATATAATTTTGTTTATATGTTTAATTTTATTGTGTATATATATATGTTTTGCAAAACAAAATGTCTGCAGGGCTACTCACCAAAGTGTTAATATTAGCTACTTCTAGGGCTGCAGTCTGGGGAGCCGAGGGAGAAGAAGTGAAGTTGTACTTTTTCCAGTACTTTCTGTGCTGTTTGCATTTTTTCACAATGAAAAATCTATTCCTTTATATTTTTAAAAAAAGAACAAATTGACAAGATGCATCTCACCGAGGTAAACAAAGTAGGGAGCAATGATGCTGCCCACTCTGGAGGCCATGGATGTGACCCCCACGGCCATGTTCCTGACCGGGGTGGGGTAAAGCTCTGCGGTGAAGACATACAGCATGGAGAAAGCAGAGGTGATCCCGAACTTCCCTAACATCACCAGACCAATGGACAAGAAGTTGTAATCTGGAAAAGAGACCCCATGTAAAAAGAGGTGCTCCTAGAAGTAAGACTTTGTTAACTCAGTTGCTTTCATTGTCCTCTTTGCTTGTACAGCAATGTTTTTACAATGTAAAGATGTTCCCAGAGCACCTAGGTGACTCAGTCAGTTAAGCTTCCAACTTTGATTTCAGCTCAACTCATGTTCTCAAGATCGTGAGATCCAGCCCTATCCTGGGCTCTGCACCGAGTGTGCTTAAGATTAAGATTCTCTCTCTCCCTTTCTCTCTGCCCCTCTCTTTCCCCATGTCGCTCTCTTAAAAAAAAGGAGATATTCCCCAAGTAACACTTTGTCTTCAAATATCTTAATAATTGGACACAAACAAAGATGGAGAGTGACGGGTTGCTTTCTGTTCTGCTCTACTGCTTTTCAGTGCATTCAGTGACCTTTGCCTACTTTCATTTGTTACAGTAGTTTCATTGTAAGTTGTTAGCATGTTAATATAGTTAAGTTTAATCTTCAAAGAGAAAGGCCTATCCTTTCTAACCTGTTTATAATTATCAAAGAGATATATGTTTTATGTATAATACTAGGTTATTAATGATCTATTGACAACATTTTAATATGAGAAAGTCAGGCATAAGGAGAAAAAAGAAGCAAATGTCTTCGTGTGCTCTTCAACTGCTTAAGGATTACAGGCCCTAAAAATCACTGCCTTATACGGGAACTGGCAGTCCTACACACTGCAACGCTGGAAAATGCTCCTCAGGGAAGAGGTCTGAAAGTACCAAGGGAATGATGGACGGCATCAGGCTTCCTCTCAGGCAGTGATTTCTGATCCCTTAAGGCTGACTCCCATGTCAGGGGAGTTGTTGTGAACACAGGAAATGCCGTAGTTAGCTATTGCTTGTCCAGTTGACTTAAGAAGAGCTTATGATGTAAAGGCGACACAAACAGGGCACAGTGACTAATGATTAGTCTAGTCAAGGTGCAGCTCTTTTCCGTAAGCGGTTAATATTAGTTAACTTCTTACCTGCGGGTATGAACTGAATTAAAAGAAGCACACCTCCTCCCAAGAACAGTACGCCGGCGATGATATAACGCCGAGGCAGCCTTCGAAGCAGCAGCCAGGCTGTAATGTAAGCGGGAACCTCAATCAAGGCAGAAAGGAAACAGTTCAGGTAGGCATCTCCATGTAAATTAGGAGCGTTGAGAGACAGAGCAAAGTAACCCACTGAGGTTAGCATCCTGAAAGACAAAAGAAAAAAGGCAAAAATGCCAAGAGGATAGCCTGAACCACTCAATGATTCCATGATGGTCAAGAAGTTGTCCCGGTCTTTCTGTCCTACAAGTAGCCACTAGCCACATATGGCTATTTAAAAAGTATGTCAATTAAAATTAAATTAAATTAAAAATTCAGTTCTTTAGTCACACTGGCCACACTTCACCTGCTTCAGAGCCACCTGTGCCTACTGGTTACAACAATGGACAACTCAGATATAAAACATTTTCATTTTTGTGGCAAGTTCTCTTGGACAGCACTAGTCTAGATCTGCCAACATTCAACAACACCTACACTGGTCTAGTTAATTTCAAATTTCAGTATTTCCTGAACAGTTCGTACATCCTTGTTCCCTTACAACTATTATCTGAAAAAAGCGCATCAGTCACGTCAGTGAACACAAAATCCAGATTTATTCTTACCCAAAAGAAAAATGAGGACACATAGGTAATACTGTGGGATTCTCTTTTGGTGAATTCCAATCGATTTATTAAAACTCACTTTAGGGAAGAGAATGAAAGTCCCATGGAACATAGTACACACCGCACACCCTGTCATTACAGTTGACTTCCGCAGAACTGTAAAACTCTTCTGTGCAAAAACAACTGCACCTTGCAGACTCCTCTGTGCAGAAGTTTGCTTACTATTAACATGACTGACAAGCAGAGGATATCTGAAAAATGTTTTCAGGAACATTGTTACTCTGATGTCACCGTTCTGTTGACAGTATAGCTTCGGGAAGCAGGAGCTGAATTAGCCTCTCACTTTCAGGAACCAGTAACATAATTAGTATGAATCCCAATGACTTTAGGAGGGGAGGGACCCTTTCCCTGTGGCCCACAGTAAGCAGGCTTAAATGTCATGTTACTTTTTTACGTTCCCTGTGACTTTTTTTCAGCATCCAGTTCCATGAGTTGAATGGAGCCATTTCCAAATAACTTAGAATTCTAGAATTTCTGTTTTGTCTCAGGAAGACTCAACCCTTGCCCTGACGTTGCTGTGAATTAGAGAAAATCAGTTGTGTCCTTAGGTGTTGTGTGTCATATCCATAGATCATTTATTACTTACCACAGGAGCAAGGACATAATGGTTATTGTGGCAATATTCCGAGTCCTGAACAGGTCCAGAATGAGAACTTTCTGCTGACCAGGGAGTTTTAGTTCCTGTAGCTAAAATAATGTAAATCACTGTGAGATTAAGAGGTAATGAGGAGGTATCTTCAACCATTGGCATTGTGGGAAAGACCTGTTATGCCTGTAACGCTCCTTCACCTTGAATATGCTCAGAAGCCTGGAATTTGAGGGGAATAAGGGCATCTACATATAAGATGCTTATCCTAACTCTTTAAAATACTTGTGGCCCATTTTAGACTGAGCCTTTGAAATATGTAACATTGGCTTCACTGCCTCTTTATATAAAACCTGACTGCTAATAGCCTTTTCTTGACTCATGGTCACCACTGTGGTGACTCGAATCACATTGAGCTGTGATCCTTAGGACCTGTTGAGTGGACAGAGCCAAACAGCCCCAGCTCCCTTGAGGTCCATGTCTGCTTTTTGTATTTTTCTTGTTGTTGTGTCAGAGTCAGAAGAGATTTGGATTCACGGAGGGCCTTGGACAAGAGGTCTGAGCATCAGTTCACTTCTCCTTTAAAAAAGTATAAATAGGGGCACCTGGGTGGTTCAGTTGTTAAGCATCTGCCTTCGGCTCAGGTCATGATCCCAGGGTCCTGAAATCGAGCCCCCCATCAGGCTCCCTGCTCGGCGGGAAGCCTGCTTCTCCCTCTCCCACTCCCCTAGCTTGTGTTCCACTCCCCTAGCTTGTGTTCCCTCTCTTGCTGTGTCTCTCTCTGTCAAGTTAATAAATAAAATCTTTTTAAAAAAAAAAGATCTAATAATTGGGAGTTGAGAAGATTAAATGAGATCATATATATATATATATAAAGCTTAGCATAGTACTTGAACCATGATAGATGCCCAACTTTTTTTAACTATAATTATTACTATGACTGCACCATTGAGAAAAAGATGCTAACAATCTGGTTGGTGGCAGTTTCTCATTGCTGTCAATGGGCTTCCTTCCTCTACTTTTAATTTACTAAAGTTAACTTGCCATGTGATAGAAATCTAGATAACTAAGTTTGTTGGAGCTTGTAAAAAAAGTTACAAGGCTCTGAGGTGTGGAATCTCTTTAGGACATGAGGTATATGCAATAAGAGGCTTAGGAAGGAGTGTCTGCTGTGAAGGAGTAAGACTGCCAGACCTGCCTTTGTAGCAGGTGCTCCCCAGATATGAGCATCCTTCTTTCCAAGAATAACCAGACACTCCCACCTGCTGCTCACAGACATTTTACTTTTCTTCTTCTACACAGTTTGGAGTGAACAGCCCTAGAACATGCCCCTGGCAGCAAAACTCTATTATCACAACCAAAGTAAAGCCCCTGCATAAACTAGTAGGAACTAGAAGTCTTCATGGAGGAAGTGGTGCCATGCATGGATAGGACCTGTGCATCAGGCCCATGCTCACACTTGCTGCTTCCACAGGGCCCTTATGAAAATGCAGCTTGCCAGGTCCCACTCAGGGCGTGCTGACTCCGAATCCTCCCTGGGGCCCTGAAGCCTACAACTCTGTATTTTTAAAGCTACTTGGGTGATTTTCCCCACCCCCCACCTTGGGTGATTTTGATAACAGCCAGTTTTAGAAAACTCAGGACAAGAATAGTCTTATATCCAGGGCTTGTGCCTATATGGAGTCACCAAAATACCTTTGGACCAGACGCCATGAGCAGGCTGAAGGTACTTCAGAAAGAAAGCCAGGGAATCCCAAGATAGCTTTCCAACATGACACTATTCTGTATGTTTTTCTATCCACTGCCTCTAACATGAGTTAGGAAATGACATGCTGTTAAGTGCATGTCTTCTGGTACCAAGAGACCTAGTGAGATTTCTAGCTATGTGGTTGTGGGCAAATTCCTTAGCTTCCCTGTACCTCAGTGTCCACTCCTGGAAAAAGGACCCGGAGTATACCCACTAGCTCTGGCTTGTGTGAACATCAAAGAAACTAACACCATGCCTGACATCTGGTAGACTCTCTGTTGTCATTCCGAGCAGGCTGTATGTGCTGGCGTATACACCTTTGCCAGGAGGTGAGCAGCGGAGAGGAGCACAAGCTCCCTTTCCTTCAGCGGGCTCATCCATTTCAGGCTCCACGTGCCTCCCAACCTCCATAGAGTCCTGCTTTCTGGGGAGGCCAGACTTGAGTCTGTAGAGTTGAGTGTGGAGCAGGTGTACTGTCGCTGCAGCTGTCCCCATCTTCTTGGGGTATCCTGAAGAGTCCCCTGCCCTTCTCCTAGCAAGGAATGCACTGCCCCCCTCCTCTCCACTCATCTAAGCCCCCAGACCCTGGTTTGGACCTGCCTCTTCAGCCTGGAGTCCGTCTGCTGCCTTTCTCTGCTGCTACACAGCATCCCTACCTTGGATATTTAGCACTTCCTCCCGTTTATGTTTACATCTAATCCTCTTGACCACCTTAGCTACACGCTGTGCTCCTTAAGCATAGAAACTGTATCTAACTTTTCTTATTTTCTCTAGGGCCCACCCAGAGGGCGTGGACAGGGACACTGCAATTCCCCACTGTCAGCGAGTACGGCTGCTATCACAAAATATCATCTTTCCCTTGTGGCCTCCTGTTTTCAGGGGTGACCCCTTGAGCCTATGCCTTCACACCTTTAGGGTGTAGACAAGACGCAGCAAACCAAAGGCAAACACAGCTTCCTCAGCAGCTGCAGCATGATTCAGAGTACGGTGGGGACATCATGGATGGCATACCCCTCAACCACATTTTTCCCGCTTCATCTGGACATTGAGAAATCACTAGTATGTAACTGCACCAGTAGTATGGAGCAATACCAACATAAAGTTGGAGATAAAACTTGCCAAAGGGAAGGGGGACTAGTATTTAATCAACACATGTTGTAAACTAAGCAGTTTACATATATGATTGCATCTCATTCCCTCGCAGCCCTCTGAGGTAGGTTTCACGTCAGCACTTCATCATCACAGGGTCTTAAGGACTCACACAGAGCCTGGTGCACAGTGGGCACACGTCACATTCAATTAAATAAAAAATGCATTGCTGACTTTAAGAGGACACATCTGCAAATGCTTACCTCCATAGGATCAAAAATCACCCTTGGGGCAGCTATGTTGTTCATTTTTGCAGCTTTTTGGATGATACTTTCAGCCTCTGAAAATCTTCTCTGGGATATCAACCACCGGGGAGATTCGGGAATAAACCTGGAATAAATTTGTAATTGTTTATAATTTTTCACAATAGCGGGGTTTAATACTAGTCACCGTAAGTTGCCCCCAAGCAATTTTTATTTTGTCAGATTGTAGTATCTCTGAGTCACCAAATGAGGTTTTGGGAGACAATTTTTTTTTAAATGTCTAGAAACTTTTTATTACACAGAGTTTGCTTCTATTTTTTCCTAATTTTTCTATTTTTTCTATTAGTATTTCTTTTCTCATACTTATATTTATTTACATATTTTCTATTTTTACTTTTTGCTTCTCAGTATCTCTTAGCCATTCCTCTGCCAGCTCTTGTTTTCTTACCTATCGGTCAGTACTCAGTGATCTGAGAAAATACATCACATGTAGCTGACACAGAGGCCTCCTCTCATTAAAGGGGCTCCTCCAAAGCCTCACCAGGAATTAACCTCAGAGTAAAGCAAAACTTGTCAAATGGCCAAGCCTCAGCTCCCTTCCCTAGCCTACTAGCACATGGGTTAAAAAAGGAACCCAGTTTATGTCACTTTGGAACATGCCCTTAGTTGGTCCCTGTAGTAACTCTGATGATGTTAGGTCACTGACCTTCCGTAACTAGAGCTGCTCTATCCAGGAAAGCTTTCTGCAGGGCTCTGTAGCTGCATTGCCTTATATCGTAGCCAATAACCTCGTTCGGCTATTGAGCTGGTGTAACTGGTGTGAATGAGCAAAGGAATTTTTTTATTTTATTTACTTTTAATCAAAGAATGTGCATGTGGCTAGTGGCTACTGCTTTAGTGCAGAATTAGCGCTCTTGCTTTCCAGCCACTGTGTACTTCACACCTATATCCATGTATACCACACTTCTAATTCTGAGCCATGTCTTTCCTCCACTGGGTTGTTCTTAGAAATACCCTACTTTCTGCCCACAGGCTCTAACGGCCCTCACGGACCTCAAGTTCCTAATGTTTAGTTGGCTAGATATTGCAAAGCTTCCCCCATGCTGCATCTATAGGCTCCTTCCCCATCCCCTATACATAAACTCCATTCACGATTGTGGTCTGTTCTTGCCAAACCTTTTAAAGGGAACTTGAGATATAAAAATCCCCAAGCCACCTGCAGGGCTTACTCCCATTTCTAGCCCATGGTGCTCAGGGTGCCATGATTTCTACTTTGGCCATGGCTTTTGTGCTGGATGGAGAATCAAGTCTAGTTGATCATTGTAGAAGTTAGTGGAGCGCCAAACAAGGTTACTACAGGCTCTCTGTAGACTGAATTCAGATAGAGCAGGGGCAGGGCATTGCTGGAAAGTCTCTTACACTGAGCGGGCAGCAGGGAGCATGGCAGCCCAAAGCCAACCCCTCATGACCCCAGCCCACCTAGACTGATGAGCATGGCTTCAGGAAGTCCCACCCTCAAGAACGAGGTGTTCATAAGAAAGCTATTTTGTTTTTATAGGAAAATGCCAAGACTGTTGTTAAACTTTTAGGACAAGCACACGGCTTTGTAGTGCTGTCCCTGGGCTGCCCTCTGTCTGGGGCAGTTCTGTCCCTTGTACAGTGTGCCCACAGCTCAGAGCATTCACAAGCCAGGCCGGAAGGAAGAACTTTCCTTAGGGCAAGGGTAAGTCAGCTCCTCATGGGATGCACTGTCTTTGCTGTAAACCACAGGGGCTGACCTATCAGAGTTGTTCCTTGCGGCAATATTGGGACCCAAAGCAAAGGTCCAGGCCCTAGAAATTAAAATCTTTATTAACCTCTTATAGTCAGTCAGGGCCCTTTTATTTTTATTCTCTCTCTCTCTGATAGAATCACACAGTAATAAGGTTGGTTATAACATATTATAGAAGTACTGGTCTCTTGGGCCAAAATGACAGCTAGAGCCAGGGATCACAGATTCTTAACAACATTCATCTGTGGAGGCAGAAAATAACCTTTGAATAGTCTTGTCTTGTGTCTTGAGAGAAACTCTGTTCACGAACTTTGTTTACAACAAATTTAGTCAGCAGGAGAATTGTGGAAGGAGGGTCAGAAGATGTGACAAAGCTGATGTTGGTGATTATGATGATGATCATGATGGCTCTCATTCCAGAAAATTGCCCTGCTCTTATAAACCTGGGGTGCTTCCTTGGAGACAGAGCTGTGGAGTTAATGGCCTGTCCTTATTTACCATAAGGTTTCCTGACCCTCAGACTGGATTGCAAAGGAAACCTCCAAACCAGAGCAGTATCTAACATTTAACACACTGTCTCTCAAATTCCAGGCAACTGAGGGAAAAAGTGCTTTCTCCTCCCAGGCACATCCATGCCAAGAGTTTACACTGAATAACGATAGCAGTCTTAGACACGATAGAAAGACCGTAACTGGGAGTGGTCCAACCTGAGCTAACTGGTCCAACACGGCCAAAATGTGCCACCTGTCAACCTCTAAGGTTGCCTAACAGTTGCGGCAAGATAAAGGACCTTCTGACAAATTCCTAGGCTGTATACAAAGGACAGGACCATGAGGGCGAATCTAAACCATGAGTTTTTTAAAAATGGTCAAAGAGACTTGCATTGTTTGTTAAGTAGGTGGAGATCAAGCAGTTTGGTAAAACTTATCACTGTTGGGAGATTTGATATTGATATCATGAAACCAAAGCAAGAAGAATTAATGAGAGAGAGCAAGAGAGAAAGAGACCCACCAATAGAAGAAATCCCCTTTCCTCTTGCTTAAATATGGGAGGAAAAAAAACCCCAAAACAAACAAACAAACAAACAAACAAACAAAAAAAGAAATGGGGAATCCCCCAAAGAAAGTGCAGCTGGGACCTTATTCCATTACTCTAATCTCTTCTCTCACCTGAAAATTCCCATATAATCCCGTTGGGTGAAACTGGGGCCAGTATCTCCAAACTTGGTTAATCCCACACTGATGTGTCAAAATTGGGTGGCAGGATTGAGGAAGGAGAGAACATTTCTCTCATTAAATGAAAGTAATTCTCTCACCCTTCAGGACAAGCAGAGGGACACCTGGGTGGCTCAGTTGATTAAGTGCTTTGGGCTCAGGACATCATCCCAGGATTTGGGATAGAGTCCCAAATGGGGCTCTTTGCTCAGCCAGGAGCCTGCTTCTCCCTCTGTCTGCCACTCCCGCTGCCTGTGAGTGGTCTCTCTCTGACAAATAAATAAATGAAATATTTTTTTAAAAGACAAAGTAGATAAAGAGGCATATCCTAGATGTGAATCACCCCGTGATAGGAAAGTTTGAGGAAATTACATTAATTGAATCCATAAGGAGAAAGAGATTTCCTAGAGAGAGAAAAGTGTCCAAAGAGCAGCATGGGGCAGAGTTAGAAACAACAAACAAAACCCACCAGTGCCATCTCCACAAACAACATCAACTACCAACAGCAGACAAGAGTGGGGTGGGCCCCTGCAGGGATGGGCTTCCCGAGAACGGTGCTGGGTGGGACCGTGGAGAATCCGAGGATGGCAGCATGCAGGCCCGCCTGCAGAGAGGCAAACACGCCCTGGGCTTGGAAGCCTGGGGCCCGGCCAGCTCCATGGAGATGAAGGAGATGACGGAGCCCGCAAGAGCGTCAGCACCAGGTGCTGACTCCGGGCATGCTGGCCCGAGGCAGGGGGCTGTCTGGGACAGAGCCACACTCACCACCACAGCGGGAGGCACAGCACCCCGGGCACCGTCAGCGCCAGCAGCAGCATCCGCCAGTCTCTGATGAAGTAAGCAAACAGGGGCAGCAGCATGTAGCCAACTGCAAAAAATGTGCACACTCCTAACGTAGAGAATATAATACGAACTGACTTGCCAAGAATTTCAGTTCCTGTTCAAAACAAGGGAGGAGTATTAGCATTTTAGCTCACTTTAATATTTGCCGTTTTATATCATTACCTGGCAGTTAAAAGTTCAAACTACAGTTGCTGGGAAAAGGGAAAAGGCATTTGCCTTTGGGCCCAGAGGAGGTGAGATTAGGGTGAAGGAAAGTGGGAGGCAACCCAAGACTTGCCCCTTCAGAGAAGGATGAGTTTTCATGAGATTTTAAAGGAGCCACAGATTTATCTTTTACAGGCTGTCTCAATGCCCAGCCCCAAGAGGTCATCTCTTCTGAGGAGGCCCTGTTTCCAAAATAAATGCCCAGGGTGAGGAGCAGACAGGGTGTCCCGGGAGATGGTGGGGGCTCTTCCAAAGGGCTTTGTGAGGTCACCGTGCATGTAGCCTTTCCCAGGTTTCCCCACTATAAACAGACAGCCACGGGGTCTTGGGAAACAGTGGACAGTTCATAGTTAACAAAGTCGTGTTAGGATACCATTAGCAACCCTTGAGCCCTGAGAAATGATAACTGTGATCTAGCTGACCTGGGAGGTACACAGAGCAGCTGCCCCGCCCCAACCGCTCCGCAGACACCCGGAGCTGAATTCCCTGCAGCCTCATTGTACCCAGAGATCAGGCCCAGGCAGACACAGTCTATTCAGAACAAGGAAAGAAAGAAGGAGCTATTTTGCAGGCCCAGCAGGTGGCAGGCAGCCCTAGAGTTGGCCACACACCCAGAGAACTTCACAGAGCTTTCCCAGAACACCACAAAGGCCCAAGACTGCTTGGTGGTGTTGGGCCCTGTTTGGGCACAGGACACACAGGTGGCTGTTGGCTCTGGCTCTGCTCAGTGCCACGGGTCTTCCAAAGATAGTGCCCACCTCTTGGAGCTCCTGGTTGCAATGGGGGAGCCCAAGAATAAGCTCCTCTGTTGGCACAGAGCTCCAGGCCCTTTCCAGAACCTACTCTTGGTCTTCCGCCTCCCCCGCTCCCCTGACGGAGAGATCTGGCCAATGGCCAACAGCTCTGCTTTTTGTTTGAGATCAGCCCACCAGTACAGAAAAGTAGCCCAGGAAACACAGAACAGACCATTCAAAAGACCATTCAGTCTTGTCTTTCAGGAGGTATTTTCTCAGTTGTGTTTATATGCCCTGAGCACAGGCTAAGGAACTAAGGGCTAATTCCAGAGGAGCCGTTTGATTACTATAGTCCCTGGGTCCACTTATGCAAGATTTTTTTTTTCAATAAATACAGCATGGTATTATAAATGTGTTCTCTTCCTTATGATTTTTATAATAACATGTTCTTTTCTCTAGCTTATTTAATTTTGAGAATATAGTATATAATATATATAACATACAAAATATGTGTTCACTGACTCTATGTTATTGATGTAGGAACTAACGTTAGGGTTCGAAGCCGACAGCCAAGAAAAAATTCTTGAGATGTTTTTGGTGCAAAAAGGTGATTTTATTAAAGCATGGGACAGGACCCGTGGGCAGAAAGAGCTGCACCAGGGTCATGAGGAGTGGCCCATTGTATACTTTTAAGTTGTGAGGGGGTTGGGGATAGTGTAAGTCTCTAAGGAATTTAGAAACAAGGTTTCTAGGACATTGAAGGGCTAGCTATTGTTGGGAAAAGGTCATTTATTATCATCTAATAAAACCTTAGACATGAGACCCTTCAGATGTATATCAGTGGGCCATATGCTTGGAAAAGGGGGTGACTGCCAACACATATCTTAGGAGGTTTAGAGATAAAGGAAATTTCTAAAGGAGTTTTTATATAGTAAAGTAGACTTATAGGATCCTGGGCGGGGAAGGAAGGGGTCAAGCTGGAATTGTCTTTCACCCTCAGCAAAGTATTAACATCGAGGCAGCTGAGTCCCTAGAGGAATGTCCCTCTGCCTGTTTCAGGGACTTGTCAATGGGTTGCAGGCTGTAAGAAAATTTAATAATTTTCCTTCTGCCTTTGTTTCCACATCATCATCAGTAATTCTGATCATTCTGATCAATTCTGAGCAACAGTAGGCTATATTAGTAGTTAAGTTCAGGGGGAGTCAAAAGTAATATGTGGATTTACGACTGTGTGGGTGAAGGGTGGTCATTGCACCAACCCCCCATTGTTCATGGATCAATTATACCTGGCTAGTTTCCCATTCTCACCGCCTACTTGTTCCTTATCCCCAGCCCATTTCTTCTTCACTCATCATAAATGAGAGGTGTGCCTCAGTGGTTCCCTCTTGAACAGCCCATTTCTAAAACCCAGACTGACGGAAATGGCCAACAATGTGTGCTTCTCCTTTTCTGGACTGGAGGCAATAGACCTAACCCCTTAGGGCACTTTTCAGCCTCTCTGCTAATTTCCAAAGATGGGGCCTGACTTCTTTGAGGATCATGAGTTATTTCCAGATCTTTTCTTACCTCAGTAATGACCCTCCTACCACTCCAGAGGCAGACTCACCATGCCACGTTTCTAAACACTTTGGCTGTCATTATCATGACGTGGGAATGAATAGGGGGCACTTTGTTCCTAAGCAGAGTTTCAGAAGTGAAGCAGCAGGGGATCTGATTGCGGAAAAGAGCAAGGGACCAAGTGAGAATCTGGTAGAATCGTGAGGGCAGGGGAGCACCCCCCTGCTTCCTTGACCCTGGTAAGAGAAGAGAGAAGAGACACCACTGGATTCCTGGATAACCTCTGTCTCTAAGCTTGAGTCTCAGGCCAGAACAGAGTTGTTCTGACTTTGTACAGTGCCCATGGGGGACAGAACCTTTTAAATCTACCCTTCTGCCATTCCGGGGAGCAACACAGATGGTACGACCCCGAAGAGCACCTTGTCAACACGACTTCCTGCCCTCTGACCTTTAGACAACCACCCCTCCTGACACATGATCGTGGTCGTCGTCACCAGCGTCATCTTCCTAGCTAACATTTGTGTTTGAGCCGGTCCTAGACTGTTGACATACATCATCTCTTTGAAGCTTCACAATAATTATGTCAGAATTAAGATTGCTTCTGGGGCACCTGGGTGGCACAGCCATCTAAGCGTCTTACTCTTGGTTTTCAGCTCGGGTCATGATCTCAGGGTCGTGAGATGGAGCCCCACTTGGGGGCCCTCTCCCTCTGCTCCTCCCCTTTACTCGCTCTTTTGCTCTCTGCAAAATAAATAAATAAATCTTAAAAGAAAAAAAAAAAGAACTAATATTACACCTGTTTTACACATCATCAGCTGAGACTTAAAGAGTTGAAGCAAATTGCCTCAACTCACATAGCGGGAGTAGGTGGGGGCAGTAAGGATTTAAGCCTGATCTGTTTGAACTATGGATACCATCTAGAAAAAAAAATCACCAGGAGGCAAAGACCGGGCCTTACCAAGCAGTCCTTCAGCTGAGATGCCTAAAGGAGATGCTGATGGGAGATGGGGCACAACAGGCCCTCCTTTCAAGAAATGAGGATTTTCTGGGCTAGTCTTTGAACCAACTGATAGCCGACCAGCCCCCTGGTGAGGAGCGCTAGGGGAGGAGCCCAGATTCCTGCAAACCTTCCATGGCCTGCAGCTGTCCAACAGATGATAGCAGTGACTTCTGGCTCTGTTGGCTGGGGATACCTGTCCTGGGTTTGTTTGCCCCTTAGGGTTTTGTTCCTAGTAGGTCTTGGTCTGGTTGGGCCTCAGAGTGTCTCTTGGGAATGAACTCTATCATCTAAGCCTGACAGGCATGTCCTGATCAGGAGTGTTTGTCTATTGTCTGTCACTACCACCTCAATCCAAGTACTCTCTCTGAGATGGAGTGACTCAGAGAGGGCTAGAGTCACTCAACACAGAGATGTTGTAGAAAACATCAACATTGATCGAGGCCCTTCTCTGGTGGTCATCCCAGGAACCACTGGTTCCATTCCACAGCAAGGCAGGACGTGCATCTCCACGATGACCAACAGAGTCTTGCAGCAGACCCCACCAGACCCCAGCTCAAGAAATAAGAAGATGGTACAGTTGCCAGGACCCAGGGACCCGTGGGTTGTGAGTAGAAAGGCCATGTGCAGAGAGGCATCTGTAGAGAGCCTCCTCGACGGTCATTTGCTACTAGAGTGATTTTGATAAGTCCTACTTCATGGAGGTCTTTATTACGAGGACTGAGATACCATGTGTAAAGAGCCTAGTAGAGGATCTGACATGTGGCAGGTGCTCAGGAATAGCTAATTCTCTATCCTTGGTCCAATAGCTGAAATGTGCTGAATGACAGAGGAATGAAGAAAGTACAGTGCTTTTGATTGAAACACCCAGTGGAAGACAGTAGAACCTCTCTTTGCTCCCTGGAAATACTCAGGACTCTCTCCAAATTAACATTCCTCTACTCAGGCGTTCCTCTCTCCTCTCATGAACTTAGAGATCATTCTAGTTAAAGGTGACCCTTACTATCTTTGCATATATCCCAAAATGCCTTTCTTCACACAGTACAGTGCAAACAAGGGGTGCCAGCAAATTTCTACGTCCTCTTAATGTATTTATATCCCATCTCATTCCCTTGACGTCTTTGACGTACCTTATAATTCAAACACAATAAGGTAACAGTAGCATTAAAGTAAAATACAAAGAAAGACAAAAGTTCTGCCCTGGAGGAAAGAAAAAACTATGCAACTGATCCTCTTGAAAAACGTATGGCAGTTCCTTAAATGGTTAAACAAAATTAACATATGACCCGGCAACTCCACTCCTAGGTACATGTCCAAGAGACCTGAAAACACTTATCCAAAAAACACCTGTCCTCAAAAGTTGACAGTAACATTATTTTTGATAGCTAAAATGTAGGGACACCCCAGATGTCCATCAACTGATGTATGGATGAAGAAGATGAAGTAAATCCATTCAATTGAATAGTGGTTCACACTACAGTACAGCATGGACCATCAAGCGAAGGAAGTCAGTCACAAAGGCCACAGGTTGTATATTTCCACTTATCTGAAATGTCCAGGATAGATAAAACCATACAGACAAAAAGTAGATTAGTGGTGGCCAGGGGTTAAGAAAAGAGGAGAATGGAGAGTCATTGCTAATGGATACAGGGCTTTTGGGGAGGTGATGACAATGTTCTGGAGTTAGAAAGAGTTGATGGTTGTACAACTTTGGAATATACTAATAACCACTAAACTACACATTTTAAAACAGTGAATAGTATGGTATGCAAATTGTATCTCAATTTAAAAGTACTTTAAAAATATATACGTGACTGAGAAAGACTGCACAATTGACAGAGTTAAATTTCAATTTTGCCTCTGTCTTCTGGCGGGGAGAGTTGTAAAGGAGGATTCCATCAGTTACATCCTTTTGGAAAGGAAGCACACATCTATTCACCAGAGGAAGCAGAGTTTGAAACAGGTCAGCATGCTGGCACAAATAGTGCACAGGAGGTTGATGTTAGGAGTACTAGAAAAATACGGAATTAGTGGATCGGTCAAGACCGGAAGGCAGTTAACTATGCAAAATAAATTTGAACAAATAGTTACGAGGGCCAAAGGAGGAGCCCCTGGCATTTTACCCAGAAGGCGGTGGACAGTTTCCAGGCACTATTTCTGGGAAATGGTAGGAGATGGTGAGGGGGAGCTGAAGTGCAGGCAAGGTCAGTGTCATTGGTCCTGAGTGGTAATTTCCTCCTAGATCAGCATCTTTTTGCCAGAGTACTCACTACCAGGTGAATCCCCTTTATGTTTCTTTGGCTAGCACTGTTTCTTCCCTCCCTTTTCTTGTCTCCTATGACTCTGGCAAGCTTTACAATTTTTTAAAAAGTAGAACAAGGAAAGAAAGAGTCCATTGCTACATCGTTTTGAGAATGGGAGTAATTCAGTTTCCCAATTTAATGGGAAGTCCCTTAAATTGAGATTATTATCATAGAGTCTTGCCAACCCTGCGCTAGAGCCAGAAGACAAAAGTAAAGGCCCAGACCCCAAGCGTTTCGTTTATTTTACTCAGAACCCAGAATTCACTATTTTAGCCCTGGGACGCCAGAGGGCACTGCTGCGCTGCGGAGAAGCCGGGCACCGCCCAGCGCTGGCACTTCGCGCCCCAACCTTGCCCCGCCTCGCCCCGCCCCGCCCCGCCCCGCCTCGCCCCGCCCCAGGCTCTGACTCCAGAGTCTGCAGCTGGGGAAGGGGGGGCGGCACGGGGGAGCCGGTAGGTTTTCAGTGACATTCTTAAATGCCCAAACCCAAGAACCCAAAACAAAGAGTCTCATGCAAGAACAAAAAAGTGAGCAATTTTCTTAGAGCACAGTGGAGTAAATCGACAGCCAGGGCGGGACCCGGGCTAATGGGGAGCCCCTTGCACCCAGCATCCAGCTCACTGATGGCTTGCTTGTAAATCTGGGCTCCGATGGATCTTACAAGATCTTACTTTCCCCTTGGCATGGGGAGCAGGGAGGGGAGCAGGTTGTAGCGCCAGTGCCAGCGCGGGCAGGACTTCCCTGCAGGAGGCCCTGGGTGGGCTTTCCCAGCCTCAGCCATTCCCAGAGGGGAGGTTCCAAGGCCCCCACAAGCATCCCCTGCCCCTGGAAAGGTAGGACTCAATCTTGGCCATTCAGTAGAACCTGGGGGATGTCACACCTGGCACAAACCCTTCCTGTGTCCCAGTCCTAATGATGGGGCTTCTCTGCTGTTTTTCTGCCCTTGCATTTCAGACAGTCCTTTAGGTCCTCCTTAAAGGGGTCCGCTGGCCTCAGGCAGAATCCTGTTTTGAGGAGGCCTGCACAGTCCCCTATGTGTCTGTGTCTGTATGTTGGTATATCTCTGTCCAGAGGCAAGCCACAGACTTTTTGAGTTTAGGGAGGATTGCTAGGAAAATACTGAATTAGTGGATCGGTCAAGACAGGAAGGCAGTTAACTGGGCAAAATAAATTTGGATTTATTTAGGAAGATGGAGGCCTGGAGATTTTGCCCATGAGAACAAATAGGCTTTACTCAGGAGCCCTGTGTCCTTGGGGCCATCAGGCATGAGGAACTTAGAGTTTCCATCCCAAATTCCTCTAGTCCCTCATTTCTAGTGCCACTGGCCTGAAGCTCTGTGTCGTCTACACAAAGGACCTTCTTTAAGAACATCTGGTTCCCCTCCTTCCCCGCAGGGAGGAGAGAGGCCCCCTTCCTGCTGAGGCCCGCTAGAGAGGGTGCTAGCTGCTGGGCCCATGTGGTTTCAGCATGCTCTCCCCTCCCCCTACCCCCGTTCAGACACCTTGGCTGTGGCAAGGAGCTCTTCACAAATGATTACAGGAGTGGAATGTGAGCAATCCCGTCTTGGCAACCTCGCGGAGAGTGCACACCTCCTCAACTAAGAGGACACAGCATCTCCAAAGCTAATGAGGTCCTCCAGAATCCTAAAAGCAATCAGAATCCATCTTAACAGATTTAGACTTTTGAGACAGGAAGAATTGTTAGACTGACAATAAAAGGACATTATTAATAATTACACTGTGACAGTAGGGACAAACTGGGCCACCACTGAGCTAACAGGGGTATACCATCACACGAGAGATTATGGGAACGGGTGTCTGCTGTCCCAGAGGTGGTCCTCACTTCCCCCCACCCTCAGCTGGTCAGAGAGCAGGTCAGCACAGATAGCATGTCAGGGGACACTTGCTCCTATGACTGATCCTGGCCAGGCTGCTTGGAGTTCACCTCACTTTCTCCCAGGAAGCTCTGGTGAGGGCCCTGGGGGCCTCCTCATGTCCTTGAGCTTGTGCGTCCCCTTCATGCTGCCTTACACTCCAGAAGCAAGGCTTCAGTGAGGAGACAGGACTACTATCCACAGAATATGTCGTCCTGCACACAGCTGATGGGCTCTGGGGTGTGCGGTGACTCAGGGGGAGACTAGCCCTGCCTGGTGATGGCGGACCTGGCTCTGAACTTCTGTCCACACCTGCCTCCTCCGCCTGTGTACCAGCCATACTAGCTGCTCTAAGTCCCTCCATGGGCTGTGCACAGCTGTCAGAAACACTTTTGCCCTGGCCCAGGCAGAAGTTCCAGGCTTTCACAACTCAGATCAAAAACCTCTTTAGGTGGTTCCTCCCCCAGCACCCCAACTTTGTGTCTTTCCCAAGCTCTGTGCTCCTGAAATGTGTCTCCATTATTGTGTGGGTGGTTCCGGTCAGCTCCAGCTTCTCTTCACCACCACATTCCAGGGGCAGCACAGAGCAGGCTCCCTGTGAGTGCCTGCCATGCCTGTGACCAGATGAAAGATCCTGAGACCACAGCCCCCTGCCCAACACATGTATATCCCAGGCCGATCCTGTTGTAGAAACATAGCCCACGAGTTAAGGTGCTCCCTAGGCCCTCTTCAGGGGCCCCCCTCTTTCTGGGCCTCTCAGAGGGTTGGAAGGAGAAGCTCTGAGGGTCAGAGAACATTCCTACCTAGAATGAAGGCCACCACATAGTTGGAGATCTGGCCCATGCCAACGATGACAAATAACACAGTAAACATCTCCCAGTTGATGGAGAAAATCTGCAGGAAGCTGAAGCCAGTCTGCACAGCCATGGTTGCGAAGAGGATGCTCTTCCTGCCAAACCTGTAGAACATAGCACAGCACATGGCACACGCAGCCCACAGCGGCTGTAACTCCGGGCACATGGCAAGCCCCGAGTCACGCAATGCAGCAGACTTTGTTCCTTTTATTCTGTTTTGTTTTCAGGGCTGTGACAGACTTTTCTCCTTGTCTCGTCCTCCTGAGCTCTTCCCTGGTGATGTCTCAGGCACCCATCTGCCCAGGAGGTGCCTTTAGAGATTCTAAAACTTCTGTAGAGGCCCTGTATCTCAAAAGCACAAAGCAGCTCATGCAAGGTCCCCCTAGAAATCTGGTCCTCAGAGCAAACCACAGATAGAAGCTACCACCCCATTCTGGAAAATTGCAGATTGCAGAGACATCTAATATCAGCAATATGGGAATTCCATCCATCCAGAATGAAGATCCCCTCTATGGCAGTAGGATTCAATCTTAGCTGAGCTTAAAATTCCCTGGTGCCAAAAAATGCTGGGGCCAGCACCCCTCCCCCGAGATTCTCATTTTCTGGGATGCTGTTTGGGTATTGGGATTTAAACAGTTTACCCAGGTGAGTCTAATGTACAACCAGATGTACACTCTACAGGGAGTGTAGCTCTACACTGTACCCATGATATGGGAGTTGGACTGAGTCTTCATTTCACTTTCAGATAGTGACCAGTGGGTAGAATGGAGCACAGGTGTGAGCAGAACAGTCTCCTACCTCATTTTCCAAAATCAGGTCTCAGGCTGCTGGGTTTGCATTGCCTTGGGACTTTGTAACAGGAGAAGGGACAGGCACTCCTCCCGGAAACCTTCCCAACACTGCTATTTAGAGCCTTCCTGCTCTGGTCCCCTTAGAACATTCAGGGGCCAGCAGGGTACTTCTCCTGGAGCTGTGGTGCTGTCTCCTCTAGACTCCGCATTCCAGGAGGCCCACAACCAGCATGGGTCAGCTCTGCGTCCTTGGGGCCCTGGCAGGGGCCTGACCCCCAGCAGCAATGTGGGTATCCACTATCTGGCCCTTACTCTGTAATGGACAGATCCCCTGTGATCTAAAAGTTAGGGGTTGGATGGGGAGGCAGTGGTGATGGCAGCACTGTATTTATTTGAGAGCTTTGGTGCAAAAAGGACTGGCTTGCAGTGGGGCCATTGCCTTCTCCTGACCATTGGCCAAAGCCCTGGCAGGGCGAGTCTGGGAAAAATGAACAAAAGAGGTTCAAGCAAGGGACGGAGAGACCGGAAACCATGAGACGTCATGGCTCTTCCTTTTACTGACTTGTTGGGGTCCTCTCTTTCTCTGGGGAGAAATACTATCAATTCATTCCAACCCCAAGATAGCAGTGAATTGACAAGGGGCCCTATTGCACCTTTCCTCCCTCCCAGGCTACTTACCTGTCAGATAGCTGCCCGGACACAAAGGAGCCAAGGAGCACGCCCACAAAGAACAGGGAGGAGGTGAGGGGTGTCTTCCAATCATCCTCACACACTAGACTCCACTGCCAGGGAAGACAACATGAAGTGTGAGCCCAGCCGTCCAGCCGGTCCAGCCCCAGCCCAGAACTGAGGGAGTATTCCCATGGCCGCTGGAACGGGCTCTCTCCTCCTTGAGACAGGCTATTGACTTTGTGCTGAGAGCAGAGACCTCATAGCTCTGGCCTTGATGCCTCACTCTGCCACTTACTGGGGCAAGTCACTGTCCTCCCTGGGACCCACCTTCCTCTTCTGAGGGTAAGGGACAGTGATACCTCAGCTCTCTGCTTGCCTCCCATATTGAGAAGCTAGCGAGGCCATGGCTGTGACTGGTGACCCTTGAGCTGTGAAGCAGTGTGAAGCAAGGTAGTATTTCTGCTTCAGAAGGCATCCGAGCCTGGAGGGAAGGTGTTGGAAACTCCCCAGGGGCAGGGCAGAAGGCCTGGTCGCTTGGTCCAGGCATAGAAGTTTCCTCTGCCTTGGTGAAAAGGGCAAGCGGTCTGTGATGATATCTTCTGAGCTGACTCCTGTAGAAAACCCTCTCCTCCCTGCTCCATTCACACCACAGGCCAAGCCTGGGACCTGACTTCCAGGGCCCACTGGGTGGCGGGGGTCAGGGTGGGTAGCTACACCTCTCCAGCGCTCTTTATCTCCCCCAACACTCCTCCACACTCCTTCCCACCCAGCCTTCCTAGAAGGGTGGTTCCTTCTGTTCCCCAGGGCCTGTGGGCTGTTGTAGCCCTAACAAGTCCCTGCTGGTGGATCTGTAAAATGAGGGCTTCAACACAAACTTCAGTTCTCAGCTCTTTAGTTAAGCCAAGTCAGCAGAATCTCAAAGGAGGCTGCAAACATTTCCAAGTGTGTTCAGTGAGCTCTCTGTCTCTCTCTCTCTATATTTCATTATATTATATATATATCCATATAGACATACATACATACATAGACATACACATACAAACATACATACATACATACATGCAGGTACCAACAAATATTCTGAGGGCTGTGGATCAGGAGATTGCTGTATGTAGCAAGATGATTCCGTCTAGTGGAAAAAGTCCCTTCCTCCTGCCCAGTCCCACCTGCCCTCAGGGGTGGTGCAGCTTCCCTGACATTCGTGAAGCAATTCAGTTCTTAATCCTCACAGCTCCCCTGAAATAATAGATTCAAAAACGAATTTATATCACACTTCACTCTGTAGCAGAGACAGGTGTTTAGAAGGACACAGACCAGAGAAAAGTGTAAAACAAAACGTTAAGAAACGAGGGCAAGCAGCACAGGGAAGGAGGGACTGCAAAATAAGCAAGCTAAGGGTAAGACTGACAATCAGTTGTCCTGCCCAGGGGCCTGCCTGCTTGCCAGGCTCCGAGGATTCTAGTCATTCAGCTCACATGATCCCCATATTATGCAAAGTGTTAAACTCATTCTGCAAAAGCTAGTTTTTCTAAGTACTCAGACCTGAGAGAAGTCTCCCCCTGTATACTTCCTTCCACTAAGAGGTCATGCCATGATGTTGAGGGTAATGTCCTTGAGAACACCCCCGTCCTAAAGACAATAACAAGATTCATGAGGCCGCCTCTCCTGGCACCCACAATGCTGGCTCCAGGCAGAAGGCCTAAGCACAGCTCTGCAGGGGAAAAACACAGCGGGCCAGGCACTTGACTCTCTAATCCTCAGGCACAACCAGAGGACGCACCTGAGACCATGCCCGGAGTATGGTTGCTTCAACTGAGGTTCCTGAATGGGCTTCGGAGGAAAGGGCACAAACCCTCCAAAACTGTATGACCGGATTCAGGTGCCCTGCTGCAACATGGGTCAGCAAGCATAGGCAGGACATGCACCTAAAGTAATGGCCACACCCTTCCAAAAAAATCATAGGCCAAAGTGTCAGAAAAGAGCTTGGAATCTGCCCCAAGAGACAGAGAGATTAGGGACTGAGACTCCAAAGCCTCATAATATGTTGTTTTGCCTGTTTTGTATTGGAGTAAACAGACTCGGGCACCTGGGTGGCCCAATTGGTTGAGCACTGGACTCTTCGTTTCGGCTCAGGTCATGATCTCAGGATTGTGGGATCGAGCCCTGCATCAGGCTCTGCGCTGGGCATGGAGCCTGCTTGGGGATTCTCTCTCTCTCTCTACCTCTGCTCCTCCCCCCGCGCTCACGCTCTCTCTCTCAAATAAGTAAATAACTTAAAAAAAAAAAAGGAGTAAACTCAGGCTCTGAGACTAGTGTTGGTCTGATGTCATAGCAAGTACATAGGCTTGCTAGGTACCAACTCAGGCCTCAGAACTCAATCTTTACCCATGTTATGCTTTGAGCAAGAACTCCAAAGGACAGACAAATGAGCTTATTAAATACTATCCACTACAAGGAAGATGCTAGGACTGGGGTGAAAAACCTTTACCACAGCCTTTAGCGCTGGGCAGAGCTGAGAAAATCTCACATGTGGTAGGGGTATCCATGTGTCTATTATCCACTGTCACCATTCTGTCTGCAGTCAAGCAGAAAAGCTCTTCTAAAGAGAATGTGTTTTCCTTTGTAGGTTTTTTGAATATTTATTCTGTCAGGATTTTGCCTTAGGGTAGGATAAATAAGACTTGAAGACAGAAAGGAAAGAAGACCGTCAGATGTGGAAGCAGGGATTACATGGTGTGGATAGTGAGCAGGACTGGTTACTTAATTTGCAGGCCCACTGCCATGTGAAAGTGCAAGGCCCCTTGCTCAAAAACATGAAGAATTTCAAGACATCAGTAGCAGGGTATTACAACCAAGTGTGAGGCCCTTGTGACTGCTTGGTTTGCACGCCCATAAAGATGCCCCTGTAGTGGATAATAGAGTGGGAATGGAGTAGGGCAAATTCTGAAGTGGGGTGCTGGGAAGAATGAGATATGGGCCAGCTCCCCATCGCTCTCCTACTGGACCCTATGCAACCATGGCCCTAGGTCCCTCTGCCTCCCTGGAAAGGGCCCCAGAAGGCCCCCATCGGCATCATGTGGCACAGGAGATAGCCATGTGCAGCCACCTGTTCCAGGTGGGTGCTGTTGGATTTTGGAAATCCTGCTCATACCCAACAGAGGAAGGCAGCTGATGTCATGGCTACTAATGGTTAGTTCCAAGGTTGGGCTGTCTCTTGAGGACTTACTATGCCCAAAAATCTTGTTGGAAAGCTGCGAAGGATGGGAATAGGACACAGGCTTGGCATACAAATTCCAGCTGTAACTCATGGGACTGGAGTCTGGTAAATCAGCTGCCAGCCTGAAAAAGGGCCCTTTTCTCCATGGGGTTATTCTAGTGAAGGCCAGGCCCTACCTGTGTCCAGCCCCTTGGGATTTGAGGGGTGTGTCTTGGGGGCCCCACTAGCCAGAGCCCAGAGAAGTCCCTGGGGCTAACAATGACAGTGTTAGACCCAGTGGAAGACAGTCTTTTCCTAAATAAGACAGAGCTGTCCCTTGGGTCTCTGTGTATATGCATACACACATGTGCACACAAACACATACATGTGGTCTGCTCAGAGACTCGTGGTGGACAGTCTAGGGAGGAGCTGGCTGGCATGGCTCTGTAGCTGTGCTTTCAGGCCAAGCGCCAACATTTCTAAAACATAATACCTCCCCCAACACACACACACACACACACACACACACACACACACACACACACACTGGACAGAGAGTGGATTGTGGGAACTCACTGGCCCCAAGTTATGCAGGGTAGGGCACTGGATATGCCTTCCTAGGGTTACTGTGTCTGTTTTATCCTCAGGGTATTAGACCAACAATTCCATAAACACAGCAGAGAAAGCTCTTTGTGCAACCAAAATTGCACAAGGGCCATCTGGCCTTCAGCTTTGATTTAAGAAACAAAAACCCAGGTCACAAGGTACTAGAAGACAGGAGGTCACTCTCAGCATTGAAGAGTATGCCTCTCATGCTGCTTAGCAGTAATAACAGATATGATAACTATAGTATGTTGGGTGCTCACTGTGTGCCTTGTATTATTTCTTGGGGTCTCAAGGCCGCCATGTGAAATGGGTACTCTCTTTATCCCTATTTTACAAATGAGGAAATGAAGGCCCAGAGCATTGAAACAACTAGCTCAAGTTCTAGTGGATGGTGAAATGAATCGCTTATTTATTCACCTGTCATTGAGCACCTGCTCTGGGCCAGACTCTGTGTGGGGCACAAAATGGACATGGTTGCTACCTCCACAAAGCTCAAGGTCAAGCATACTTTACAGGACAGATCAGGTGTGCATATGTGCATGCATGAGCCCGGCTGTCCTGGGCGGGGTGGGCTCTGTTCTGGGCCATTGTGCCCTTGCTCTCTGGCTAGACAGGAAAAGAGGCACCCCCTCCTCATCCTCCTCTACATGGACAGAATTCTAAAACCTGAACTCATTTTCAATCACTAATGCTTGCACAAGGCTAGGCAGGTGGTGGATTCTTCACAAATTGTTGATGCATGAGTGCTGAATGCTGAACGATTGGGGTAATGGAAAATGAGTTTGGGAAATGCGAGGTATCACATTTGGAAATCACCCTCAACCTTGAACTCTCCAACTAGCCAGTCCTGCGATTTTAGCCTTTACCAAAGACATTGAAGGACCATAATGATAAATCATCCCTGTGATCTCTGTAGAACTGAGAACTCCAGAAGGCAGTCTGATGCTGAAAGAAGAGCACAGGTTCTTTTGGGCCCTGGCACTTTCTTTCTGGCTGTGTGAGTTTAGGCACTCATTCACCTGGATGGGCCTCCTTTTTCATCTTCAGAGACAGGACAATAATACTCCCTCCTGGGTGGGGCGCCTTGGTGGCTCAGTGGCTCAGGTCATGATCCTAGGGTCTTGGGATTGAGCCCCACATCAGAATCCCTGCTCCGTGGGGAGCCTGCTTCTCCCTCACCCTCTCTCTCTGCCTGCCACTCCCCCTGCTTATGCTCTCTCTCTCTCTCTGTCAAATAAATACATAAATAAAATCTTAAAAAAAAAAATAACCCCCTCCTGGGGTTGTGAGCCCAGCACAGGAAATATA